GAGAGAAATTCCTCACACACACACACACACACACACACACACACACACACACACACGACATCATACTGGAACACACATGAACACAATACAAACACACACATACCAGCATAACATTAACACAGTAAAGAAACACACTCATTCATTGGGAAATTAGTAAATCAGCCTCTGTGTGTGTGTGTTTTTGTGAGAGAGACACACAAAGCCGTCCATTGAGGAAGGTAAAACTGCTGCTACACAAAGAACGTGAAGAGAGACACAAATTCGTGGTCTCCTGCTCATTCTCGAACTCTGTATATTGTTGGGTGGGTCTGTCTTGGCATTCCTTAGTCTTGCAGCAAAATACACACACACACACACACACACACACACACACACACACACAGAGCACAGCACATGTGTGTCTAATGTAATGTGTGTGTCTTCCAGTAATACTAACATCATGTGAAAGTTGCAGAAAACCTTCAATCGGCCAAACACACACACACACACACACACAAAACATGCACAATTAAATAACACACTAAAAACACACACACACACACTCACTTAAAACATACACATTTAAAAAACACACTTAAAACACACACACACGCTTTTTTTAAAAATGCTCAAAACAAATGCAAACACTTAAAACACATACTTAAAATACACTTAAACAAACACAGAGTTAAAAAACACATTTAAAACATGCACACACTTAAAACACACTCTTACAACATTAACTTAAAATATACACACACTTAAAACAGACTGAAAAAACTGACTGAAAACAGACTTAAAACACACACACACAAACACTTAAAAACAGACTCTTATAACACACTCACTGAAAAAACACTTACACACAGATGTAAAAAAAAAACACACACTTAGTACACACACAAGCACTCTATCACACTTGAGACAACCTGACACATTTTAAACAACAATGACAGAAAATACTGCAACAACTCACCCAGCTGATTGGCACGAGGTTGAAAGTTCAAAGGTAAGCCCTCGACCTGTGAGTGTGTGTGTGTGTGTGTGTGAGAGAGATGTATAAGCGCAGTGCAGAGCCGCACAAACACACGCTGATGTGAATCACGGCCGACCGAACGACAGAATGAGAGAATGAGAGCAGAGGAGCCGTGTGGGCGGAGCCTATAGCTGAGTGGGCGGGGCCAGACTGCACTGGGGGTGGGGCTTAAGCACAGTCTGCTCAACGAACCTGACACTGTCTCTCTCTCCTTCAGTCTGATTCCTGAGATGCAGGAATGATTCAAAACAAAGGAAAGAGATTCAGGTTTCTTTCAAGAACAAGATTACAATAATATCAATACATCATATTTTAAAGGGAGGAAAAAACTTTTTTTGATCAAATCATTCTGATACTGTATTGGTCGCAGGTTGATGTCTAATACACAATCTGATTCCTGCAGATAAACCAGTGATGCAGAACTATGGGAAAGGGTCAAAGGTCACTCATGGTGGCCAGTATGATGCATCATAATGCTGTTAAAGATCACATGTCAGAGGATTCATTCTGCTGCATCTGTCTGTCTGTCATCACCCGTCTCTCTCATCCGTCTCTCTCTCTCTCTCTATGTGAGTGAATGGACTCTTTGTCCGTTTCTTCTCTTCCCACTGAAACAGCACAGAGGAATCCTGGGAGCTCATGAGTGTGTGTGTGTGTGTGTGTGTGTGTGTGTGTTTTTTAGGAAGCAGATCACATCACGCTGTGATTCGTTTTGTGTTGTTTTGGTAGACTGCAGTGAAAGCTTCCTGTGTGTGTGTGTGTGTGTGTGTGTTTTTTAGGAAGCAGATCACATCACGCTGTGATTCGTTTTGTGTTGTTTTGGTAGACTGCAGTGAAAGCTTCCTGTGTGTGTGTGTGTGTGTGTGTGTGTGTGTGTGTTTTTTTGTGTTCGTACAAATGAATCATCTCATCAGAACTTCACACACACACATCAGTGTTCATCTCAGACACAATGCTGATGATACTAGATAAAGTCCCACACTAACCGTAAATCCCACATTAACTGGTTGATATCAGTACATCAAACACTCATACAAATTCCCTTATGTCACAAGCCCACACACACACACACACACACACACACACACACACACACACACACACACACACACACACATACACAAACAAACACACACACACACACACACACACACACACTCACACTCACATACACACACACACACACTCTCACACACACGCACACATTCACGCACAGACACACACACACACACGCACGCTCACACACACACACTCACACACACTCACACTGGATTCTGAAAATGGAAACTGAATGGAATTTAAACATGCAACATTCTAAAGTAGCAGCATACTGCGGTTTGAAGCGTTTAACACTGCATACCATTTCACAAAGCATTTTAAAATTATAATAATCTATGCATCAATTTATATAGTGCTGTACTGGATAGCAATGAGTGGGACCTCCTCATTAGTATGCATTGTGCAATAAGTAGTAAGCAGCACACATCCATTGCTCATCATGTCTCATAGTCACACAGTACAGAGCGCTTTTATCTTCTGATGTTTATCACGTCGCAGCTGGACCAGAAACACTTTTAGACAGGACTGATGCCAAATGTAATTTTTTTATGAATGAAAAAGGTGTTGTGAAGAGGTGTCTGGACTGAAAATATGCAATGCTGAAAATGTCTTCTTTACAAAATAATAAATGGTGACAAAACTCTGGAAAACACATGTTGTGAAAATAAGACACGGGAGCTTAAGGCGAGACAAAAAAAACGGGGAAAATGGATAAAAAAGTAACAGATGTCATCATACTTCTCTAGCTGACTGATTACATTAAGAATTGCAAATATTTTTAGAGAGATGTTATGTTTAAGTATGCATGTTGAATAAAGCCAGTTTTCCAATTTTGGATTTCTCTTCTAATCACTACTCTTTTTATCAAACAAATTATTGAAAATAAATAAATTTTTGCCATGTTTTCAGGAATAAAATGTTGTATAAATCAGTGCTGCTGAAGTGGAGAAACAAACTCTTAGGCTGATGAAACTGGAATTGAAATCTACAGACAGTGGAATAAAAAGAACACTTAAAAGTGTATTTTTGATGTTTTCTTTCCACTAGTCTGAAACAACAGGTTATAAAATAGACCAAAATCCCAAAATTGACCAATGCATGAAAAAGCAATGGTTTTGCCAGTAGTGTCTCGCATTAAAACAGAACAAACCCACTGAATGGACTGTAATTCTGTCCTTCACAGCTTTGATTTAACTCACAAACAATAAAATGTGTCTTATATCTCGACTACAGTCTATATGTGACCCGGGAGCATAAAAGACACATTTTATTGTTTGTAGTCTATATGTGACCCGGGAGCATAAAAGCAGTCTTAAGTCGCTGGGGTATATTTGTAGCAATAGCCAACAATACATTGTATGGGTCAAAATTATACATTTTTCTTTTATGCCAAAAATCATTAGGATATTAAGTAAAGATCATGTTCCATGAAGATATTTTGTAAATTTCCTACCATAAATATATTAAAACTTAATTTTTGATTAGTAATATGCATTGCTAAGAACTTAATTTGGACAACTTTAAAGATGATTTTCTCAATATTTAGATTTTTTTGCACCCTCAGATTCCAGATTTTCAAATAGTTGTATCTCAGCCAAATATTGTCCTATCCTAACAAACCATACATCAAGGGAAAGCTTATTTATTCAGTTTTCAGATAAGGGATGATGAAATATGTCCCTTATGACTGGTTTTGTGCTCCAGGGTCACATATCATTACACTAGTGGTTTAGTGTGGAGTGTTTTGTGTTCACGCTGACTCACGTTATTGAGTTCTCTCTTGTTTCCGAACAGCGGGTGATATTGGCGGTATTTGCCCTCACGGTATTTTGCGGTGATGAAGCGACGTCGCTCCTCGCTGCTGCTGTTCAGGGTCAAGGCCTCGCTGGGCGGGACGTTCGCCGCCCAAAACTGATTGGCTCGTTCGTTTCCTAGAGCGAGAAACAGCTGGGACACGAGGAGAGGACTGATGAAGACGAGCGCAAGGACGCCAAGAACTAGAGAACACGCACATAAACTAAACACACCTGGATGAGATCTTCGCTCCAGACCTTCTTGTCCATTTTGAGACTGCGTACTTTAGATATGCTTGGACCGAGACCGCGATGCTCTCCTGTCACAGACAAACACACAGACAGCTGCAGAAATAGGGCTGCACCATTTGGGGAAAAAAAATATCAAATGGTAATTCTCTGGTAAAAACTACAATTGCAATTTAAATTGTGATAAAAAAACAAAAATAACAAACAAAAAAAAGAACATAGCGGGTTGTGATCGGTCAGCTGTCTCTGGTCGTGATCGGTCAGCTGTCTCTGGTCCTGATCGGTCAGCTGTCTCTGGTCGTGATCGTTCAGCTGTTGCAGGTCCTGATCGGTCAGCTTTCTCTGGTCGTGATCGGTCAGCTGTAGCGGGTCGTGATGGGTCAGCTGTCGCGGGTCGTGATGGGTCAGCTGTCGCGGGTCGTGATGGGTCAGCTGTCGCGGGTCGTGATGGGTCAGCTGTCGCGGGTCGTGATGGGTCAGCTGTCGCGGGTCGTGATGGGTCAGCTGTCGCGGGTCGTGATCGGTCAGCTGTCGTGGGTCGTGATCGGTCAGCTGTCGCGGGTCGTGATGGGTCAGCTGTCGCGGGTCGTGATCGGTCAGCTGTCGTGGGTCGTGATCGGTCAGCTGTCGCGGGTCGTGATGGGTCAGCTGTCGCGGGTCGTGATCGGTCAGCTGTCGCGGGTCGTGATGGGTCAGCTGTCGCGGGTCGTGATCGGTCAGCTGTCGCGGGTCGTGATGGGTCAGCTGTCGCGGGTCGTGATCGGTCAGCTGTCGCGGGTCGTGATGGGTCAGCTGTCGCGGGTCGTGATCGGTCAGCTGTCGCGGGTCGTGATGGGTCAGCTGTCGCGGGTCGTGATCGGTCAGCTGTCGCGGGTCGTGATGGGTCAGCTGTCGCGGGTCGTGATCGGTCAGCTGTCGCGGGTCGTGATCGGTCAGCTGTCGCGGGTCGTGATGGGTCAGCTGTCGCGGGTCGTGATCGGTCAGCTGTCGCGGGTAATGATGGGTCAGCTGTCGCGGGTCGTGATCGGTCAGCTGTCGCTGGTCGTGAATGGTCGTTACCTGCACATCGCTTGCAGAAAACCACAGCCAGGTTGATGGCGGCCCACTCAGGTTTGGCATCGCTGCAGTCGGCACACATCTGATTGGACGGCTCCGCCCAGATCCGCTCAGCCACTTCGTAATTGGACAAGGCCTCTGCGATAGAGTTGCGCATGGCCTCCACCCACTGATCCTTCAGCTGATCCGTATCCGCTACGAAACTACAGACACAGACCCGTCATTACGCTGCTCTCCAACATCTGCACAAACATTCTTAACACTGCAGTATTAACAATGCCAAAAATCATTAGGATATTAAGTAAAGATCATGTTCCATAAAGATATTTAGTAAATTTCCTACCGTAAATATATCAAAACTTAATTTTTGATTAGTAATATGCATTGCTAAGAACTTCATTTGGACAACTTTAAAGATGATTTTCTCAATATTTAGATTTTTTTGCACCCTCAGATTACAGATTTTCAAATAGTTGTATCTCGGCCAAATATTGTCCTATCCTAACAAACCATACATCAATGGAAAGCTTATTTATTCTGCTTTCAGATTATATATTGTAATATATTTTTTAATTTACCCATATGACTGGTTTTGTGGTCCAGGGTCACATATGCATAATAAATATACACAGTACACACACATATATTATGTAAACTAAAACTTTTATTTTGTATGCGATTAATTGCGATTATTCATTTAACAGCCCTACTTAATTGCAATTAGATTTTAGTAATTTTGTTATGTGCTTTTGTGATTTTTGCTAGTTTTTGTTCTATTTTTATTTTTAATTCTTTATTTTTACTTCCAGCGTCATCAGCTTGAGATCGGCCTTTTTAGAGACCGCCGATCAATCATCCCAACGTGATCGGTAGCCGATCAATCGGAGCACCCCTAGTATTTATATATACATAATAAATATACACAGTACACACACATATATTATGTAAACTAAAACTTTTATTTTGTATGCGATTAATTGCGATTATTCATTTAACAGCCCTACTTAATTGCAATTAGATTTTAGTAATTTTGTTATGTGCTTTTGTGATTTTTGCTAGTTTTTGTTCTATTTTTATTTTTAATTCTTTATTTTTACTTCAGTTTTACTTTTAGTAATATTTAGTATTTAAGTAACTTTCATTAATTTTAAACTAGTTTTAATTTTAGTTTTGTTTGTTTTTTTTTAGTAACACTTTTTCATCTAATACTTATATTTTAGTTTTTTAGTAGTTTTTTAGTAGTTTAATTTTGACCATATGTGAACAGGTTTCACTGGGGTTTTGTACTGAAACCCAGCGAGTTAAACGTGCATTTCTCACACAGATGACCTTCAGATTCACTGAGCAGCTCAAAGGAGGAAAATATACAAAACAGATGTGAGAGAAGGAGCCAGACAACACACACACACACACACTCTCTCACTCACTCTCACACACACACTCTCACACACACACTCTCTCACTCACACATACACACTCTCTCACTCACTCTCACACACACACACTCTCACTCACACACACACTCTCTCTCTCTCACTCACTCACTCACACTCACTCTCACTCACACACACACTCTCACACACACTCTCACACACACACACACACACTCACACACTCACTCACACACGCTCACACTCACTCACACGCTCACACTCACTCACACGCTCACACTCACTCACACGCTCACACTCACTCACACGCTCACACTCACTCACACGCTCACACTCACTCACACGCTCACACTCACTCACACGCTCACACTCACTCACACGCTCACACTCACTCACACGCTCACACTCACTCACACGCTCACACTCACTCACACGCTCACACTCACTCACACGCTCACACTCACTCACACGCTCACACTCACTCACACGCTCACACTCACTCACACGCTCACACTCACTCACACGCTCACACTCACTCACACGCTCACACTCACTCACACGCTCACACTCACTCACACGCTCACACTCACTCACACGCTCACACTCACTCACACGCTCACACTCACTCACACGCTCACACTCACTCACACGCTCACACTCACTCACACGCTCACACTCACTCACACGCTCACACTCACTCACACGCTCACACTCACTCACACGCTCACACTCACTCACACGCTCACACTCACTCACACGCTCACACTCACTCACACGCTCACACTCACTCACACGCTCACACTCACTCACATTCACACGCTCACTCACACACACACGCTCACACACACTCACACGCACACACACACACACACACTCACAATCACATTCAAACTCACACACAGTTATTTCAGCTTGCTGGATGACTCACAGTGTCTTGAATGAAATAGATGAAGAGAGCGTAAAAAAGATCAACAGAAACATGAATGAATGCATGACGGACGAAAAGAAATCTTGAACAGGATCTGAGCAGTTGAATAAATTTATGTGAATGAACAAATGAATGAATGAGTCATTTGAATGAACGAACAAGTGAAAGTCTCACCTGAATATACGGTACGGTGTGGTCAGATCAAACGCTCTCCGATCCACTTCCTTCACATTACCAACATTCATATCGATCGAGGTGATGCCGATTCCCAGACGATAATCCTACACACACACACACACACACACACACACACACACACACACACACACACACACACACACACACACACACACACACACACACACACACACACACACACACACACACACACACACACACACACACACACACACACACACACACACACACACACACACACACACACACACACACACACACACACACACACACACACACACACACACACACACACACACACACACACACACACACACACACACACACACACACACACACACGAAACAAACATCTTTATTTAGCTATGTAAATGGGGACATTTCTATACATTACTATGATTATCATTTTTTACTAGCATTTCTAAACTATAAATGTACACAAACATTCATATACAGTTTTAAATTATGTAATATAACATTGATCAATACAATCAGACAAAAGTAACAGCTCTCATGTTTAACACACACAAACATCAAAGAAAATGCAATTTTATAACAGTCCAGTCATGTCAAGAAACTGAATTCATAATTAAACCCTAATTTATAGTATCATTGTTTTGCATGAAAGACAGCATGTATATACATTTTCGCTTCTCAAAAGATGTAAGATGACGTGGCGGCATGAATGCGATCATTTAGCTCAGCCTGAAATGAATCAATTAATCATTTTATTTGCACTTCATGGTAATTGTAGTTAACTAAAATTAAAACTACAACCATAAAAAACTTGAAATGCAATAATTGCTAAGCCAAGGCAACATTTCTAATTTTCATTTAGTTTAACTTGATGTGCTGAAATAACATAAACTAAACTAAAAATTAATTTAAAAAAAAGACATCAAAAAAGTAACAAAAATGGCAAAAACAAGTAAATTACAAAAAAAAATCACTAAAATTAAAATGAAAACAGAAAAACTAAAACTAATGCAAAATATGAATGAAATATAAAGAGTATATCAATGCTACTAAAAAACACTGTTTTACTAGTCGTCTAAATGAACTGATTCACTGAAATGAATCTGATTCCTCAGCGCTCCATTAAAGAGCTTTTCCTTTTTTTTTTGTAAGTGTGACCTGCGGTTATCGATTTTTGCCGTTTTCGATTTTCTTTCTAAAAACTATAATTGACAACATATACAAACAAAAATCTACACTTTTTTTAAATGCAAAATTTTTTTTCACATAATAAAAAATTATTAAACATTACAAAGGTGCCAAGGTGCCATAAATGCATTTACACTGCAAAATTTCAAATGCATAGAGAATTTTCTACGATTAATGTTTTAAATATTTTTTAAACATACAAATAAGAAATGTTGGGGAAAATGCAATGATAGTTTTAAATATGAAACCAAACCAGTAGGTGGCGTCAAATGACTGTTTGAATGAGTGAGTCATTTAGTCCTTCATTCAACAGATTCGTTCAAATGGCCGATTCATTCAGAAACGAGGAAAGTAACTTCTGTCTTTACGAATGGGTTACTGAAACATTGACTCACTTGACAGGGTTTCTGCAGGATTTTTAAGCTTGAATTTAAGACCTTTTTTAAGACCCGCACAAATAAAATTAATACCATATGAGTGGGGCAATGTCTATAGTACCATATTAAACTGTAAAATTACTTCAAAAAGCATAATTTACAGTTCAGATACAAGTTTTCACAAAAACAACAAGTTTTATAAATGATTAACTTTACATTTCAGCCTTTAAAACATTTTTAAGAAAATGGACGAGTCAAAAGTATTAATTATTACATTAATTTAAACAATTATTATGAATAAATTGCTATATAAATTAAATAACATAAATTAGGGGTGTGCGATGATGACAAAAAATGATATCTCGATATTATCTGGGATTTTATCGATAGCGATAATTAGACGATATTTTGCGGAGTATGTTATTGTGCTGATATCTTAAGGACTACCGTGGACAGCTGACTCCTCAATTTTTTTTATATTCTTCATATTCTGTGGTCAGTTCACAGCAGTGATAGAAATTAATCTTTTCCAACAAGTTTTATGGGCACTTTTACCTTTAAGCCATTTTTTCTAAAGGTGTGCATCATCTTTTGAGTCAAATTCTTCCATTTGGGCTGTTACCGAAATTAATCTTTTCCAACAAGTTTTATGGGCACTTTTACCTTTAAGCCATTTTTTCTAAAGGTGTGCATCATCTTTTGAGTCAAATTCTTGCATTTGGGCTGTTACCGAGCAAATTAAATCAGTATCAACTAAATGTATCTTTGCAATGCAGAGGAAACACAGAAGCTGCGTTAGAAGTGGCATTTAGATGTATTTACACACTGTTTAATGCAGCTCTGAGGGACATGGAATACTTTAACCTGCAGTTACAAATGCATAAATAATGTTTTGATATTTTAAACATAAAACATTGAAAACTGATGTTTGAAATCATTTTAAAAAATGAAAAGATACTTTAAATGTGAAATTAAAACCGCCAGCAGGTGGCAGCAAGTCACTGTTAATAAGTGAGGCATTGCGTTTGAACCGAATCATTTAAACGGTTGATTCATTCAGGAACGAAACGCCGTCATGTTGCTCAGAGACACAAAACAGCGCTGTGGCTGTGTTTGGAATGATTTTTTATATTTTTGGAAATATGGTGTCTAAAACATAAGTCTCTTAATATTAACGTCTTGTTTATTGAACTGTTGTATAAAATCAATATCACATTTGTAATCATGTTGACTTTTGGAGAAAAAAACAGCACTCTTCGTGTGATATTAACTATATGAAATTATATAAATATATACATTTTCTGCCCCCATATCTTGAATTATGATATCATTCTAAATGCATTTTAATAGACTGATTCATGCAGTGAAAGAACGCACTCTAAATGCGCACGCGGACTAGTTTAACCTATGTTAACTTACTAGACTTCATCACGTAATGTATGCGTGCACTCTGTAGGTGTGTTTTAATTGCTTTTCGCGATATACTCGATAATGTCAAATCGCACATCATTAAAACTACAATTACGATATTATCGCAGACCATACATATCGCGCACCCTACTCTGTTTAGATTTTTATAATGCATTGTCTTCTTATCGATCCACCAGTTCACATTTAAAGCTCTGCGTGTTTGCAGGGTAAAAACATGGGTCGATTTTAGCGTGCAGCACTCGTGTTTATTCAATTAAATCACAGCCTTTTGAAGTTTAATCGTCACATTCAGCCATATCGCCATTCTGGTCTTTCCGTCCCCAAATTTAAGACCTCTTGAAATCATAATTAAGACTTTCTTGTACAATTTAAGACTTTTTAAAGGCCTTAAATTTGATACAACTAAAATTAAGACTTTTTAAGACCCTGCGGAAACCCTGCTTGATTCGTTCAAAAACGTGGATTCATTCAGTAACGAAACACCACTGTGTTGCTCGCAGACACAAAACAGCTCTGCTGTGGAACTATTCTCATCAGCGAAATTGAGCAAAAACAGTCAATACTGTGTCTAAAATGTAAGTCACTTAATTCTAACTTCTTGTTTATTGAACTACTATTGTATAAAAGCACATTGCAATCGTGTTGACACATTTTGGTTGTGCAATGTTGCGTACCTAAATCATACATGGGTCAATATCACCATAGACTGCCTTACAACCCTCGCAATACTCACACATTTTGGTCTTAATTTCCCATTCGCTTTATGTCATAAATAGTAGACACTTAAGTACTATAAAAACATATTAGCTGAGCTCCCACACATTTTTTTTTAGAAAATGATGGGCCATTATTCAAAGCATAAACCATAAGATATGTCCACCCTGTCATGGACACATATATTACTGTTAAATATGTTTTCATTGCAATATTAAGATGCAAATTATATTTTCTGAAAGGTATGATGTCCCTTTCCAAAAATGTGTTTGCTTTCAAATTATAAATACATAAAAGATTTTATGTAAACCATGTGTTTTTTGTTTGCATATTATTGCCCCCACACCTAGCTATTGAACCCACTGGATTATATAGATATGATTGAATTATTATTTAAAATAGTGAATTATTATTTTAAAATGCCCATCCCTTCTATCCAATAAAAGCATTCTGAAGTCGAGTGAGCTGCTGTTAATGCTACTTAAGTCTGTATTAAAGTCAGTAGTGTGACTAGTGTTAGTTTTATTTCTGAAGACAGACAGATTGAGGGTTTACCTCTGTGTTTTTGTAGAGGAAGACTTTATCCGCACACACCACCGTGTAGAGTTTAGAGCGCAGGCCGCGCAGCTCAACCCTCGCAATACTCACACATTTTGGTCTTAATTTCCCATTCGCTTTATGTCATAAATAGTAGACACTTAAGTACTATAAAAACATATTAGCTGAGCTCCCACACATTTTTTTTTAGAAAATGATGGGCCATTATTCAAAGCATAAACCATAAGATATGTCCACCCTGTCATGGACACATATATTACTGTTAAATATGTTTTCATTGCAATATTAAGATGCAAATTATATTTTCTGAAAGGTATGATGTCCCTTTCCAAAAATGTGTTTGCTTTCAAATTATAAATACATAAAAGATTTTATGTAAACCATGTGTTTTTTGTTTGCATATTATTGCCCCCACACCTAGCTATTGAACCCACTGGATTATATAGATATGATTGAATTATTATTTAAAATAGTGAATTATTATTTTAAAATGCCCATCCCTTCTATCCAATAAAAGCATTCTGAAGTCGAGTGAGCTGCTGTTAATGCTACTGAAGTCTGTATTAAAGTCAGTAGTGTGACTAGTGTTAGTTTTATTTCTGAAGACAGACAGATTGAGGGTTTACCTCTGTGTTTTTGTAGAGGAAGACTTTATCCGCACACACCACCGTGTAGAGTTTGGAGCGCAGGCCGCGCAGCTCCAGGTAACCCTTCATCTCGTAGCTCACGCAGGGGTTAAAGGTCATATCCAGACTGGTGCGTGCGCGAGACGCTCCGACACAGCTCTTCAACACTGTCACCCACTCGCTCCGCTCCACTGATACACACACACACACATTCACACAGATCCACACACACACACAGTGAACACACACACACATGCACACACACACACACACACACACACACAAATACACACACACACACACACAGATACACACACTTCAGTCATTTCACTGAGCATACAGCGTGAAAGTGGCTGTGTTTACACACACCATCATATTAGCATGTATGATATATGTGTCCCGTGCTGGCAAAATGAGTGTGAATTTTATTAATTTTGAGCTACACACAACAAAAAGTGAAAAATTACGATTTTAGTTGAATTTGAGGTTTTCACAAAAATGAGTTCATCAAGCCCTCGTCTAGCGATCCTAATGCTCCAAACAGTAATTAAACATCTAAAAGTATCTTTATTTGTACGTTTTCTGAGAGGAGTATCTTTTCTCCGCTCGCTTCTCGCTGTGACTATCACCCGATAAATATACACATCTACACAGAATTGCAGTATTTAAGAATTCGTGCAAACATAATCTGTTAGGTCTTAAGTGAACGTTTGGGCAACTGTTGGGGAAAAACATCTGATGTGTAACATTATATTAGATCTGTGTATTACAGTAGGTATTAATATATCATCCGTCTGTCGCATTAATGTTAATCTAACAATAAAAGAAAAGAGAGAATCACTCGCTGTTCTCGATTTAACTGCTTTTGTAGTTTTCATAATCAGTTTATTTGTAATGAATACACTAAAGGGATTTTTACATTTGATTATTTGTTTTTCTTGAATGCTTTTGTTAAATGTAAAATGAAAAAGGTAATGCATTATATGATTCTTTCTTATGTTTGTTCTACTGTTTTTTTTTGTTGTTGTTGCATCTGTTCTTATTTATAATAACACAGTCATTTTTTGTTCGATTCCAACAAATCATACATCATTTTGAAGGTCTTTTAATTGAGAATATGAAAATAAAAATAACTCATTTTTGCTCATTGCGACTCATTTTGCCAGCACGGGTCTCTTTGAGTGTTTGTTTAACTCTGACTGTTACTGCAGGGTTTCTCAAACTGGGGTTTTGTGAGTTGATGAAAAGCTAACAAGTCATTAAATCATGAAAAAATTAAAAACAAAATTAATTATCATAACAATAAATTAAAATAAGACATGTTTTTGATTATTCTTCACCAGAAAGACATAGTTTGTAATAATTACAATAATTATAAATTCATAATTTTATAATAACAATTTAAAATAAAAACAATCAAAATAAACACTTACTTAAATATTCAATGTTATTAATATTATTATTTATTATTTAAATATAGTATAGTAAATTTATTTTGTTCATTCTTTACCAGAATGACACAGTCTTGTGTTGTTAGGCCAAATCATTTTAAGTAATTAATTATTTTAATTAATTAAAAAAATAAATAAAAAATAAAATAAATTAATTATAATAGTAATTAAAAATAAAAACAATCAAAATAAACACTTATTTAAACATTAAATGTTATTAGTATTATTATATTATATTATTCTTTATAAAATGAAAAATTTAATATTTTATTTGTTTATTCTTCACCAGAAAGACAAAGTTCTGTTTGTGAGTTTGTAACCGTGTTGTGTGCATGTTGGTGTGTATTTGTGTTGTTGTTTTTTTTTATATTAAATAACTAATTTAATAAAATATAATAAATAAAATATAATTTAATAAAATAAAATAATTTTATAATAAACATTTTTATTAAAAATAACTGATTAATAATAATAATAATATAATTAAAATATGAATATTATAATATGATAATTAAAATAAAGAAAGAACTCTCTCTCTCTCTCTCTCTCTCTCACACACACACACACACTGACAGACACACACACACACACACACAGGCGTTTAATCGTCCCATCAGCAGCAGATGTTAAAGGACGCGTGCGGTGAGACGCATTCGTTCAGCACTGAAGAACAGCAGGTCTTTTCACATGCCACAAAGAGTTTGATTCTACACACGTGACTTTAACCAATCAGAATCACCTTCTCAGTGTCGAAGTATCTCAGGTATTCGGCATCCAGTTTGACCCAGCGGCGCTGGTATATCAGAGACCTGCACACACGCACGCGCACACACACACACACACACACACACACACACACAC